GCTAAAAGTCGACACCGTAAATAATTTGCATGCATTAAATATGCAACAAGGGAGAATAACAGAAAATGCAATATGCTGAGAGTGTGTGGAAGGGGGGGAGGGATGTGGGTGGCTAGGAAATCCCTGGCAGGTGTGGCAACGTGTCCCGCGGCTCTCCGCTCCATATGCATGGAAATCTCAGCCAAGGAGCTGCCGAACGGCGAAAATGCTCAACGAAAACAGAAACACAAAAGTGTAATGAACATTTTCTCTCTCACTCTCTGCCGGTTAACTAAAATATTTGTTCCTCACCTTCGCTTTTCGGTTAGTTTTTCTTGCTTTTCCTCCTTACGTCGCCGGCATGCATATTTTAAAATGCATTGAAATGCAGATAGCGCGCCCGGTGAGCTGGGGCAGGGTGAGCTCGGTTGCAGGGGGAGAGGATAGGGGTAGTAAGCACTAAACAAATGGCAAAACAAGCAAAGATGCTGATCATATACAAACACAGCAACACCAACACCCCGGCACAAGCACACACACATGCACTTACGACACGTGGCAAAAGTTTTAATGAAACAAAGTGTGGCTGCCGTGTTGCAGGTATTGCCGCTGCTGATGTTGCTGATGTTGCTCTTGCAACTATGGCCCTAGCCAGAGACGGAACAAGGCAATTTCCTATGGGAGCTTTTATTTATTTTCAAAACAAATACTCCTTGAAATGTATACTAAATATAAAAAACATGGCATTTGTCGAATATTCTTTCTATATTTAGTTGTATTTATATTTTAGGGAGTTCTAAATATCTGGGAAAATGTCTAGAGTTTCTTAGTTATTTCAGACTAAATTAGCTTCAAGTACGGAAATCTTATACTATAGCATACCTTTGGCGGTTTTGAAATTCCAAGCCAAGGTTAAAGCTATTTTTGTGACAGTCCCAATATAGCCACAAAATAGAAAGCTACCGCCCCTGGCCCCTACCCTTGCTTTTGCTGCTGCTCTTCCCGCAACCCGAGAATTCCTGCCAGCAGCATCACAAGTGGCAGTGGCAGCAGCACCGTGGGAAAAATGTTCTGGCGTGTAAACTAAACCGCAGAGCAGAAAGCAGAGCAAAGATAGAAGCGGCGACCACGCACCGGAAATGAGAAAACGCTGCTGCATGTGCGGGCTTCCCTGTCCGCCAAAAATAATGCAACAAATTTAGTGCAATGCCTGGGAAATGGCTGAAATGGAAATGGAGGGCATACATATGTATGCACATATATCAGTCGCCGGTGACACGGGGATGCTTCTCATTGCCAACCGCAATGTCGCTGTCGCAAAACAATCGCAATTCGAATCGCATGCAAGCTATTGCCGAGGCCGCAGAACGCAAATGAGCAGCAGCGAGATGTTGCAGCTCCAGCTGATTTTGGGCCAAACAATTCGCAGTGCCTCGCATCGATTCGACGCAGCCATGTGGCAAGCTATTCAGATTGCTGCCGGCTCGCAGCCACAGGAACTGAACAGAAACTGAGCTGAGCTCAACGGATCGGAGGCCTTTGGCCAAGGTATGCCAATGCTCTCGCTTCGCTTACAAAGCAGTCGCACATGCCACAGTCACCGCTGGTAGCGAAGCTCAACCACTGCCACTACCTTGTCAGGTGGCAAGCGGCAACTGCATTCCAGGCAGCCGGAAAGCGGAGATATATGGCTCATACAGGGAAAGCAAAGTGTTTATATTTTTGTGATAACTTTTAAGGCATCTTTCTAGTTTTGAGAGCAACAAACAGAAACTTAATGCATAAACTTGCTGGAAAGAAAAGCTAAGCTCAACATAAGCCCATATTTATATTCAGGAACTATTGAGTACCTGTAACTATTATAAACTAACTAAAAATATCTAGTTTCTTGTGGTGCACTTGATGGCAGGCAGCGTCACTATATATGCTACCATGTTGATGGCCACATCCTTCATCCCCTCCCGTCTCACCACATTGTTGTTTGCTGCTAAAAACCCTCGCCGCGTTAAGAGTGTGTTTGTGCAGGAGATAAATTATTTAAGCAACAAACTGCGCTTTTCGCAACGTTTTTCCAGCAACATGCTGGGGATATTTGTGGATGAAAATCAATCAGAGCAGGAAGCACTAGAAGGGGTTATCCCGGAACAATGGGTATCGGCTAGGCGAGTTATCAAAGGGCCACCAAATCGAGTTTATAGTGCGGTGAGCAGACGCACTCTCACTCACATTCGCCGAACGGCGACAGCAGCTGCAGTGTTGTATGCATTTTTGATGTAAGTGCTCTGCGTGCGAGTGCGCACTGTACGGCGGACTTATACTCATGTGACACACTTTCGCGGCAGCGAGGACAAAACAAGCCCGAATGGCGCTCATTTTTCAACGCGGACAGAGAGAAAGTGTTTGGTGCGGAAGTGGCGAAAGTTGTGCGTTTCGTGCAGCGCTACTATGCAGCAACGTGGTAAATGTGCGGTGTAAATTGTGTATTAAGGACGCTTAAAGTTGGGACAGGACTTTAAACCGTCACACAGCCACATATGCATGCATCCATCTTATTTTTTTAAAATTCAAAATCACGAAAGTTTCTAATTAATTTATTTAAAGTCCACTTAAAGAAGAAAAATTCCTCTCCATTTTGAGTTTCAGATTCGTTTCTCTCTGTGCATTGTTCCCGGGAGCGAACAAACTGTGTTTTCCATTCCATCGGAGCTCTCTGTCTGTCTTCCTTTTTCCCAGTTTTAATGCAATTTTGTGCATAGTTGGAAACCACTTTAAAATTGTTTAATGCGCCTATGAACATGCCCTCCCCCGGGGAGCCCCATTCTATCCATTCGTGTCCTCGGTCGAGGCTTACGCACACCCAAAAACCCACACAAATCACCTTCCTCCTCGTCGGCTTACTCGGTGCGAAGTGGTTTGCATGTTTAATGCATTTCATGCATGCAATTTAAGGCCAACTGCATTTTTGGTCAGTTGAAAAATATGTGCAGGAGCCTCGACATGTGCCACTTGGGTCCTTTTGGCCCGAATGACCGGCAGCAAAGGAGGCGACCACGTCTACGATTACGACTGCGACTACGACTTGCCTGTCCTGGCCAAGAGTTTTGCATGAAATTCATATGCAAAACTCTAATTTCGGAAGGCGCCTCAAAGGGACGGAGTGCATATCGCGCCGCCTGCAAGGCCCAGACATATTTATGCATGCCGAGATATTAACGCAGAGGCCAGCTCGTATTTCGACAGGCAGTCGAGCAACACGAGAGTGTCCCGGGCATAAAGGAGATTTAAGGCTCTCCATATGTCCTCCCCCGTCCGACACTTTTTTACCCGGCACTTGCAAAGTGTCAGGCTATATTGTCCTCGCCTAAATTACTCAGTTTAGGACACATATCGGGATAAGCTAACTTTTTAGGCATACCAAATAAAGTGCATCTACCTTTTTCTAAGCACTTTTTTGTATGTAAATCAATACAAACCTCTTTCTATAATGTATTGGTTAGTATCTGTCTAGGAGGTACATATAATTGAAAACATACAAGATCGCCTTAAGGTACCACGGTCTTTCACATTTGTGGCCCAGTAAAAAGTTACTCTCTTTTATTACTAAGTCTAAAGGTTGGTGCTGGTGTGCGGCTTGCGTCTTAAAGTTCATTTGGCTGCAAAATTTTTGCAATTTCACACAAGCGTGCGCTTTTGTCTCGAGACAATATAAAATCTGAGGGTCGACAAATTCGCCCGGGCCATGTCCTTGTCCAGCATTAAAGCCTGACCAATTCCCACCCGCTTCCTTTGTTTCCGCCTCTGCCTGCGACCAACCCGCACCATGAAATGATGATCTGCGAAAATGTCCTTTTATGTCCGTTGGGCGCTAAGGACCTGTAAAAGTGTCTCTTAAGAAGCGGGGGCGGCTAAAAGCAAAGACTCCCGCCAGGTGGGTCAAAGGGGAGGAGTGTCCGTGCCAGTGTCCGTGTCCGGGAGTATCGTAAAAGATAAAACGAGCGAGGGAACCCACAGAAAACGGAAAAGTGCAGTCGGCAGAGAGCTGAGGCAACTTTTGGCCTGTTTGCTGATGTTGCCGTTTTCGGCTCCTTGGGGCGTCCTTTGGCCGACTCCTCTGGCTCCTCGACTGCATTTTCTTGGCAGTTGTTGTAATCAAATTTGTTACGCTGCGTTGGTGTCCTGTTGCCGCCCCGCAGGACCTGCTCTTGAACTGCATTTAGCTCTGCCCGGGCATTTGTTACACCTCGCTGCGCTCATTTGTCGCCGATAGCCGGCCAGGCTGCGTGCCTGGATCAGACACAAAAACGGGGCAGACAGAGGGCACGGTGCGGCACTGTACTCCGGCCGCCATAGAAGGGACCTCCGGTTGGCGGGTGACAGCAATTTTCACGCCGGTCATGTTGGTGCGGGCGAAACGATGCCCCCGAGGCCCAGCGAGTGCGTTAACACACACTCTGGCTGGGACGGGGTCTCTGTCTCTGTCTCTGACGGGGTCACACACACCGAGCAGCAGCCGGGACGGGTGACTTCTATCCGGCCAGGGCCGTGTCCTCCGGCCGTTCGGGATCGTGAGCAGTAGCGCATCGCAGTACGCGTTTATTGGCATCCTGGGAGTCCTGGGGTCTCGGGGCAAACGGGAAGGACGCGTTGCTACATTTTTATGCTAATTGAAAGCCATTCATACGGAAACAAATTGCCATCGATGGGTGAGCTTTCTAAGCAGGAGTGCACACTGGACACCGATAGGGTACATGAACATAATAATATCTAAAAAATTGACTTCTCAGATAAGCATCGATGCAGTGCATAATGCTATAGATAATCATGAGTTTATAGGTATTTCTGTGGTACACCAATTATATTTTTAAATTATTAAATTTTCATATAGAATTGTGTCCAGCCCTAGTCGTAATAATAAAGCTTCCCCTGGATTAGTCACACGCCTGAAACTGATATGTATTTGTTTCCGTTAACAAGCACAAACTAACCACTTTTTCACCTTTCCCGCTCCGTTTCATTCGCAGGCAGCAACAGCCGCTCGATGAGCAACGTTCAGCAGTCGCAGCAGGCCGCTCCCTCCTCGCTGACCGCCCCGCAGCCACGGTTCCTCTCCCGCGGACACACCTACCGCGCCGTCGTCGGGGACACTCTCGTCCTGCCCTGCCAGGTGGAGAATCTGGGTGAGTTCGATGGCGGTATAATTAATCCGGCGTTATTGGTGCTTCGATGTGAAAATGCGTTCATAAAAATACACACGCCATGGACAGGGGCGAACAATAATAATAATATTTTCGACGAGAGGCGGCTCAAATTATGCAAAATATATGCAAATGTGTTTAGGCAAAATGTCACTTCACATAAATTTAATATTCGTGTGCGACAACAACGACAATGGCGACAGCATTTGGCCAACCAACAGCTGTCAGCAGATTGTCGCTTTGGGCCTGGCCAGCACAAACCATACGCGTCGACACATTTTTCCCTTCGCATTTTTAAATCGGCTGGGCAAATATGCAGCCTCACACATATTGGCAGCAAATAAATTTGGCTGATTAACGTCGACTGCCGCATGTCACGACCAAATGGAGTTCAGGGCTGGCCTCTATTCCCGGCTCCCGGATCTAGGTTCTGCGCTCGCCAGTTTATAGATTTCTACTTTCGATTTAGCCCGGCCTAACATAGGCGGCAGGCAATCAATGGCAAAACTAAATGCAATCCATGCGTGAATGCAGCTTGGCTGGGCTGCAAATAAAATGACATTTGATTGCCCATGGATGCATGAGCAGCTGCTGTTTGAGATGGGATTCGGACTCGCATTAAAATATGCCATAACTTTCTAGCTTCGACTTCAATTAGCTCTGTGTGAAAATATCAAACAATGTCCTGAACTTTGATTGCCAAACACATTTTGCATGTGCATATTTTAATTAAGGAAATTCCAACGAAAGAGCCTTGCGGTATGCGGTAGCATATTCACCTTTGACGCTTGGCCAATGCAAGCACTTAGCCAGCCCTTGCCAAATCGGGTTTGCTGGCCAACTAAGTTTATTATGTCGCTAAGTGCCACCAGAACTTTTACGCTTCCGTCAATATCCTGGGCGTAGCAGGACGGTGGCAAGTCTGACGTGTCCCATGGCAGCAGCAAGAAATACTACGGATAATGTGGTCCGCCAGGGAAAAATCGAATTTTAATCAATTAAAGGCCAGCTGAATATTTACCCGGACTAAACAATTTCAACTAATATTGACCGAGCTGATGGCTTTCCAGAGCGTGCGGAGCGCCAGAGTCATTATCGCTGCGACCGCTTTAATTTTGACCCAGTTGAGCGGCGAACAAGGAGAACGGTTTAAATTGCGACTGCTGTTGACAAGCCAATAAATAAAATGCAATTAACCGTTCGCAGCAAATGAAAATAAATTGCACATTGATGGCAACGACGACAGTCCGCGCAGCATGCACGAAATCGCCCGGATTGACATCAGTCAAAGTTTCCCGCTCCCCGGATTGGGGAAAGCCAATGCAGATCAAATGGATGAAACACTATAAAAAATATAAATGTCCTTTATTTTTTTGTATAAAACAATCGATCATAATCAATCCCTCAAACAATGACAAATTTGTATAAAATCTATCTAATCTATAAAATCTAAAATCAATCTATTGTGTTGATATTTGATATTTTTACGCAATAATTTATACAAACATTTTAAGGTTTTTGTCTTATTTTATTTTACATTTATTTCAATTATAGTTTACAAGTAAATGTAAGTTTTTTTTTACAAGTGCATGTTCAAAAACTGCCGTGTGTATTTCCGTATGTGTCGTTTTGTATGGAGCTCTTTTTTTCGAAAAATATTTTCATTTAATTCGATTCACTTGCCAACACATTAAATTGCAATGATTTCCCATTAACGCCTGATGTTTCGACATTTTCTGAGGCTGATTCAACTGTACAACACAGATTTTCAATCTGCGCCTTGAGCTGTTGTTTAAGAACAGCTCGCATTTAAAATTCTAAATCAAATCTAACTGCAGTGCGATTTTCAAAAGTTGCATCATTAAACTCGAAGTACTCTTAAAGTTTGTGCTAAATAATCAAACAGCCGTAGGAGGAAGTGATTCGCAGGGCTTCCGCCATTTGTTGGCGACAATCTCCCCGATGCACTTTGTACTCATTGCGGTACTGGCACCGTCACCACTCCAGTACTCCGTGTACTTTTTTGCAGCACTGTCATCAATCCGGTTCAGCTTTTAACGACGGATGACATGGTGAGGGTTTGATTGCAGCTTTCATGCACCGAGAGCCGCCGGCGAGGTCAAGCAGAAACAGCAGAGAACGGGTGGCCGGCACAAGCCCTTAATCCAATAAAAGAAATTAAGTATCAAATGGTCTATGAAGCCGTTCATTGATTGCCGTTCGCTGCATTGTACATGGACTACAAGCTACAAGCGACACATATGTGCGAATCGAATACGTATACGTCATGTTGACGCCCGGTGAATGGCAGACAGAAACGGCGGTCAATATATATTGAGCGCAGTTATAAATTGGATTTTCATTGGCCTGTGGACTTTGCTGGACCCCGCAACCTATTGACTTACCAAATTGCTTTCACCTAAGGTCTCTTGAAAAGGGTCTGGGGGCTGGTTCGGGTGGCAATTCATTTGGCAATTGAAACCCATCTGCAGGGGCGGCTTATGTAAGATAGAGTCGACCCAAAAATTATGCGAGGGTTCCCTTAACTTCCGTACAAATTCATATGTCGAAATTGACGGGCAATAAAATGAAATTTTTATAGCAATCCCCCTCCGCGCCGCCGCTCTCCACAATATCAATATACAGCCATTAGACTCTAATAAAATGCAGGAGCCGGGCTGGCAAGGACTAATATGAAATCAAAATAAAATCCTCCACCACCTGCCCTTCCGTTGGCACAATCATCCCACAAAGTGCCGGGCACTTGCTCCGCAGGACTCGATTCTCGACTCAATTCAATAATAATCGAGCGCAATAAAACGATGATTGCTCGAGTTTAAGCTTCCGGAATTGGGGAGACTTTTTTTCTGGGGTTGGATTGCCCATCTTTTGTTATAACTTTTAGGCGTTTTATTTACATTTGAAGTGGTCAGAGTTTCGTTTGCATTCCGTTAATAACCGGAAGCACGCCCAACGCCCAACTGAACACTCTCATTATGGATACACGTATGCATTTTTAAAGCGCCATTAATAATGCATTATTTTAAGCCGTGATTATTTAATGGCAGCTTAAGGTCAGGAAAATGTCAGCTGGCGACCATATATACACACACACACACACACAAGTTAACACTGCGGGGTCAGTGATGCGGAGCCGGGGAGGTCGGAAAAATAAAAACATTTCATTAAAATTTTATATTTCGAATGCTGAAAATCATATTCCAACAAGCGCTGCCCAGACCAGCCAGGCAGACCGAAGGACGAATGGGGGCGGATGCCACGCCCCTCTTACACTGGGCAACCGTCGTGAATGTCGTGTTTACACAACTCTGATTTCGGTTTTATAGCACGTATACGTAATATGTCCGTGCGGCGCTTTTCCACGTTTATTTTTTTTAATATTTCCATAATAAATACAAGTTCATAAATTGTTCGAAGCCGGCGGAGCGGAGGAGCCCGGGGTTTCGTAGGGGTCTGGGCCGATGCTCGCCGGCTCATTCAGAACTTAAGCACACAAAATAAATAAACATATTATACGCCACTTAATCTCATTTAGCAAATTCTCGTTTCCCTTTTTGCGGCGACGACAACAATAAAGACGGCCAGTGAGAAGGCGATTCAGGGGCAAAAACTAAAGCGGTATAAAATATGCAAAAGAATAAAAAAAAACCAAAGAATTATGCCAGCAACATCTGCGAAATTATGTCATTTATATGAGCAAACATACTAAAAAATAGATGAAAACAGCAGCCCACACACAGGACCTCCGGATAGACAAACAGAACTGAATCTGCAGAATGTTCGCTCAACTCGGCGAGGGAGGCGCCGGACCCGAGATGGAAGGATACAGATATGTGTATCCCGAGGACGAAAACTATTTCTGCTTGCCTGCAACTTTGCCTGGCCCAGTGACAGCTGAAAGTATATGTCTACGCTGGTAGCAAAATGCTTCATGTTTATATTGCGGCATTTTACAATAAATTTCGCAGCCAACGAGAAGACACATTTCACTCTATATTTTTCATCTGCTTATAGGACCCCCCACACTCTCGCTCTGTATCTCTATCTCTATCCCTATCTCTATCTGTATCTGTATCTGTTTCTTTCAGGCAATTTCGTCCTTCTGTGGCGACGGGGACCAAATGTGCTCACTGCCTCCAACATTATGGTTACACGGGATGAGCGCGTAAGACTGATAGATGGTTATAATTTAGAGATATCCGATTTGGAGCCCCAAGACGCCGGGGATTATGTTTGTCAAATCAGTGACAAAATAAATCGTGATCAAGTGCACACAGTTGAGATATTGGGTGAGTAAGCGTCGACATGTTGGCACAGCATTTGGGGGCACGGATTTACATTTGACAAGTGCCTCCGTGCATCAATTAGCCACCGATTTGAAATGAATTCCACGCTCTGCTTCTCCACTCTTCCACAGTGCCACCGAGCGTCCGGGCCATACCCACATCCGGGCAGCTGCAGGCGAGGAAAGGAGGACCCATTACGCTGGAGTGCAAGGGATCCGGTAATCCGGTGCCATCCATTTACTGGACCAAGAAGGTTCGTTCCACTGCTGCTCGCCATTCCGCGCTCCTTCCAATGCCATTTAAGTGAATTTCATTTAGTTTAATTGAATTTAATTCTCGCAACTGTTTCGCATCGTTATGTAAATTTAAATTGCGCTCCCTCCCAGCGGGCGGGATGCCTGTCCGTGCTTACCAGTAAGCTGCGTGGGGTCAGTTGTTAAGCACTTTCCCCTTCAGATTTCACTTTCACTTGAGCTTCAGTTTCGCTCGGCCAGAGCTCGCTTTTAAGCTCTTTAGCGCGGCCACTTCTCAGAATGGCGAGTCCTACGGGAAAAGTTTCGCCTCGGCTTTTCTCAGGGTCTTTCGGGCCAGCCAAGGTTGCTTTTGCTTATTAATTAAAACTGATTCGCTTACATTAAAGTCACACACAGCTACGCCCAGCTAGATACGACTGCGTGTGTTTGTATTATAAATCAACAAAATATCCCATCACTCAAAGTTTTCAACACATTCCCCTCGACAAACAGGCGAGCAAACAAAAAGTGAAATGATAAATCGCAAGGCGGCAGCATCTACGATTGCGGCATGTGGCTGTAATGGGAGGCAATTATGAATTCAACAAACACATAATTTTACGCATGAGGCAACAAAGGGATAACATATTTGCCAGCTATTCAAAGTGGGCCAAAACGGGGCCGAAACGGGGCCAAAACGGGTCCAAACTGGGAGTGGGAATTCATGCCGACTTATATGACTTGCAAATGTGGATGCTATGCGAGTCGGCAATTAGTTCTCGCTGCTAATTTCGAGAACTTTATCCACTTGCCAACTGGAGCAGCAGAGACACAGCGAGCGGTCCCTCAATACATCAGTTTCCCATTACGCTTTGTGTAGAGCACGGCTATATATTCGGCTGAGGATCCAGGTTCTGACTCTGAATCTGGCATTGATTCGAGGCCAGAGAATTTACACTAAATCACTGTCAGCGACAGCAACTTCCAAAGGTGGCAGAGATTGCAGGTTGCCGTTCGGGAGCGAGGGAGCCAGGCTTTGCCTGTGTGTAGTCAAGGCGTAATTAATGCGATTCATAGACCCACAAAAGTATGCTACCCAGCAGATAGCTTTGCTCTGGGGGAGCAGGCGTGCCAGCTGGCAACCGGAAGGTGACCCAGACACTGTCAGTGTCACTCGCACAGGAAGAACACACACACACACAGATGATACATTCGAAGAAATCCACTAGAGTCTGAGCTTATAATCTTGATTTTTTACAGCAGATAATATTTGAGGATAATAGTGTCATAAATTTTTTAGATTAGATTATTATTCTGTTATTAGACTTAGAAAACAGCTCTAGAAATACGAATTCATAAATGTTTAAATTTTAAATGTTTTTATAATTTAAATTCAATATGCAGAGTTGTTAACCTAATAAAAACTATCACAAATATGCATTCAGAAATTATATTTACACATTTTTTGCTTCACTATTAACTATTTCCCACAATCTAATTAGTAACTAGGATTTCCTTTCTAGTTTTCTATTGATTTATAAGTTATATAAGTTTCAATTTTAACAAATTAAGAGTCTCACTTTTATTTGCAGTGTGATTTTTTACTTCCATTCGCAAACAAACTTGCAATAAAGCAAGTGTCGTTGCAGGGACTCCACGAATGTCTGTGCACCTTATATGTCCATGTCAGGGCTTCCACATTTTGGGTAAAAGTCTCGTTTGCATTACTGCACTTTGGCGCATTTGACATTTCCGTTCGATTTGTTTGCTCCTAGGAAGGTACGATGAGTTAGACCCGCCTTCATCCAGAGATTCCAGGGCTCCTGTTCCTGCTCTTGCCCCTACTCATACTCCTCTTGCACCTGCTCGCCGAAAGACAGTACTAGGGGGCTGCCGTGTCACCCCATTCCATTTCAATCTGGCCCAGCGTTTCCGTCGTGTTTTGGGCTGTCTTTGGAGCTCACGTTGACACGTGTTCCCCCTGGGCGTTACTTGGCCCAGGCCAGAGCCAAAGCCAGAGCCAGATCGAGGAAAACCCCACCAAGCCAAGCCGGTTGCCAAAGAAAAGACGCTCGCAGCCAGAAAGCTGACTTGCTACAACGCCCTTTTTGGCCCTTTGAGACTCGCTTCGATGTCTGTGTTTACATCCAGTTTTGCATGCTCCACATCCTATATTTGTGCAACTTGGCTTTTGCCCCATGTCCTCTGCCCCCTGCCCCGGACCCTGAGCAGGCGGAGCGAGTTTTTCGTCGGGGAGATGTCTTCATTTGGGTTTTGTTTTGTTTCATTTCGTCTCCGTACTTTTTCGCTTGCCAACAGCATTTGTCTTTTGACATTTGCTCCTTGCACTCTCGCCGACATCATTTTTGTCGAGCCAGAAGCTGTCTGCGATTGATTCAATTTGTTGCCACTCTGTTTACAAAGCGCCACAGAATACTCCAGTCCTGTGTATTTCCTTATCCTTGCAGAGCGGCGCTAACAAGTCCACGGCAAGGATCGGCGACGGACCTATACTGACCCTGGAGAAGCTGGAGCGCCAGCAGGCGGGCGTCTATCAGTGCACCGCCGACAATGGCGTGGGTGATCCCGTCACAGTCGACATGAGATTGGATGTTCTGTGTAAGTATAAGAGGGAAGGATATGTGAAATATGTAGACCATAGGGAATCCGTTATTAATCACTAAGAATAGAATATAGCATCTGTAGATTTATTCAGAGGATAACTAAGGTTCCCCAAGCAACTGGAAAACCGGCTAAAAAAGAATCCTTACGAAAATCCAAAGACGGCGAAAAGTTTTTTAAGTCAAGCAACTCTCACAGGACTCGTAAATCAGTGCCCTGAAGCTGCTGACGGCAGCAGGAATCCAGGAGCCACTGTGCAGATGCCAGATATGCGATACTAGGTGCATGCAACAATGCGGCACCACCACCGATTCGATATAGCCAAATGCCGGGGCAGAAAACAATTTGGGGCGGGAATCGTTGAAATGCAAAAAGAAAAGAGCCGTAAGCCGAGACCAAGCGGAAGTCTTGCAACTGTATATAAATTGATTTTTGACTGTAATCAGATTGCTTTCATGTGCTAAATTCCATCCTTTCTCTCTCTCGTTTTCATTCTCGTTCCCGTTTTCGCTTTCGTTCTGGCTGGCCGTGTCTTTGTCTTGGCCAACTCTCCATCATGCAACTCACCATCGTGACGGATGCCCGGGTATCTGTATCCACGTCCTGGCGCGCTGCAGATCCCCCGGATATACAAGTGGAGAAGTCGTGGATACACTCGGGCGAAGGATTCGAGGCGAAGCTCGTTTGCATTGTTTACGCTGATCCAGTCGCAACGGTTTGTTGGCTCTTTGAATGCACCGTTCCATTCGTTCCATTGTGCCCGGATAGTTTTTGTTATTTTTCGTGGATTTTTAGATTATTACGATTACGGGTCCGGGCGGAGAGGAGCTCCAGGAGCTATCCTGCCTGCTCGCCTGGTTTATGCAAGAGAACTTTGTTTTCAGGTCACCTTTTCCTGTCTTTTTTTTCAGTTTCAGTTATTCAGCTTTTCGTTTATTCCGCTCTGTTATGTCCTGTTCTGTTGTATTCCTTTCTGTTTCGTTTTGTTGTGTCCTGCCTGGTTGTTTGCCCATGTTTTGTACTATTGCCGTTGCTGGCTTGCAATTTCTTTTTCCGATTTCTTGCCGGGGCAAATTAATGCCATTTTTATTTGGCCAACTTTCGTTCCGTTTCGGCTTGAAATGAGGCAGAAAGAAGTTGCTGCAAGTGGGTCAAATTTTGAGTTGAATTTATTAGTTGCAATCCCGGCAGCGCCTCTCTGACATGCTCTTCATCATCGTCATCATCATCGTCACCGACATTGACATGTATCCAAGCTAATCCCGGGCACTTGCCCCGTTTGCCATCTTCACGCTGCAGGTGTCCTGGTACCAAAACTCATTTCCGATCCAATCGACCGACAGACGCATCATGAACACCAGGGCCAACCGGCACACGCTCACCATACGCCACATCCAGCAGGAGGACTTTGGAAACTACAGGTGAGTGGATGAATCGGTAGCTGGATATCCAGGTGAACTTCGATTCGCCAGGAGATGAAGCCAACTTGTGGCGCACAATGAACTTTGCCGGCCAGCGTTGATTTAGTCAATTTGGCAACTTTTGCTACAACTTATTTCACTTTTTGCCAGCCAGTTAGCAGTTCAAAGTTCCCACTTGTCTCAGTCCTGGTCCGCTGCTTTATTTGCTATATATTTCCTATATATAGTGCGGGTCCTTCGAAGGGCTCCACGTCCGGCTTTGGGGAATTGTCTGTGCGGGGCGTGTCCCACCCATTTTGCGGACAAACAAGTTTTCCACATCAATGTCAATCTGTCTGAAACATATTAAAGAAGCGGAAGTTTCGCCATGTTGACACAACATTTCATGCACAAAGTTTTAGCCATCTTCCATGGAGGGGGCGGTGGAGTCCAGAGGGAGCTCCCAACCACCTGGCAGCCACCCACAGTGAGTGGCTTTTGTGCACACGACGTGTCGACGTGTTTGGATTAGTTGAGTCGAGTTCAGTTGGCTTGCCACCAGCCCACCAGCCAGCCAGCCAACCAGCCACTTGCCGGCTGCCAGATCGATGCGGGCCAACGGGGCGGATGGATGGCGGCGACGCCTGCCCCGGCGGGCATGGCGTATGAGTAATGTCGACAGAGTGTAATGCAAAATTAAAAGGAAATTACGTTTCTGGCCATGCAAAGTGATTGCCGGGAAAACATGACGCGACCAGAAATTAACAAGCATAAATAAATGCCAAAAACCAAGAGCCAATTAACCATTTAAGGCCCGAGTTCTTTACCCTCATGCGAATATGTGGTATATTTAAATGTTTATGCGCTGCATGCTAATTAGAAATTTCGCTTTCAGCTGCGTGGCAGACAATTCGCTGGGACGCTCCCGCAAGTACATGGAGCTCTCCGGACGCCCAGGACCCGCCGAGTTCTACTCACCCAAGTGGGGTCGCTCGCCGGACAGCTACAATCTGACCTGGAAAATCGATAGCTACCCGCCGCTGGAGGAGGTGCGTCTGCTCTACCGCCGAGTGCTGGTAAGTTCAAAAGAGATAGCCGAATTGGCAAAGGAAAATAGGGAGAGCAGGAAAATGGGAAATGAGAAACGAGAAGGGGGAGGGAGCGGGCACTGCCTGGAAGCCTCTGGGAATCCGATATGAAAGGAGTACATTCAATTAATTAATTGTGAAATATGCACAAAGCCGGGTCCCGCCAGACTGACATCTAGACAATGGGATGAGCGGCGCTCCACGCTCCATGGATCCCATGAAAGGCAATCCGATACCTTGACGTCACGAAGAGGGGCCTTATCTTTAGGAACACGGTGCTCACTAATGAAGCACGTGATTAAAATTACAGTCAGCAAGAGGTCTAAAAAAATCGAGCACCGAAAATTCGCACAAAAAGAAGCTCACAAAAAACTGGAAACGAAGCAATTATGAAGGAAATAAAGGACAGTAGGCGGCACGGTTTGGGGGAGGGTATAGTAGATAGACAAAAGTGATTTTTAATATCCAGGTAGACACATGAAAATGTCGCTTAATTGCGACTTCAGGCGGCTCGCAATCGGATGAGGCGGGGCGGTAAATTTAATGAGATTTCAACTCACGCACACTTGGCGATGAATGTCAAACTGCAGTGGCCTGGGCCTGCGCGGGGATAATTTCTGTGTTTTTATCCTGTGCCATTGAAGTGCAATTATTGGAGGAGGGCTCTCCGCCGGGGCTGGCGAACGAGTGGCCTCCGCCACGCAGAGGAGGCTTAATTGATGTGATAGCTGTCATAACTTGATCGGGCGCTCGCAGCGGAAATCATTTGGTTTCCGCGCACAGGACATGAAATTAATTAAGCAACCAAAGGAAAACTGTCAATGGTGGAAGCCGGCACTTAATTTGGCTCTTCTTCGCCTTCTCCCCATCTCTTTCTCCTTTCATGTACATCCCCGTCCAGATGAATGATTCGTTCCAGCAGCCGGGCAGGTGGCACGACTTCATCCTCACCCCGGAGCATCGACCGGCCTCGGAACCCCTGACACACATCATGTCCTACACTATTAAGAATCTGCATCCTGGCGCTTACTACGAGGCGATTGTGCAGGCCAAGAATCGCTACGGCTGGAACGAGGTGAGTTGGGGGACTGGGATTCCCGGTGCCGAAAAGCCGGCATAAATCTAGTCCAGCTTGGTGCGACAGAGCGGCTACTTAATCTTGATTCTGTGCCACTTTTCTGTACTCAACCTTGCCGCCTGTCTTCTCTTCTCACCCATCACCCCCGCAGGTCAGCGATATATTTCAATTTATCGTCGCCAGCAACAGCGTGGACATTGGCCCCGAAGACGCCGAGGTCGTGGCCAGCTCCAAGTCGCGCAGCAACAGTGGCGCCGTCGCCAGTCCGCCAGGATCCTTGCCTCAGAGCCTGCTCCTGCACTCTGCCCTGCTGCTCGTCCTAGCCTTGAGTAATTGTCAGTTCGACAGACGCCGACTGGGCCTGGGATAAGCTGTTAACTCGGCGGGAGAGGATCGGAAGGAGGAACAGCAGCTCCTCCAGAGACGCTCACAACCACACGCAGAACGAGACTGGCGGGGAAGCACAAACCAAAGATATGAGCTGTAAGATACAGAAGTCAAGACAAACAAAGTTCACAGCTAGGTCGGCTTTTTCTTGGATTTTTGATCATTTTACCGTAAATTGTGTTCCCTTACCGGTCAGACGGAGAATTAACCAAAGAGCAAGAGCGAATGCATCACACTAGAGGAGATTTAATTGCACGAGGAGAAGAGGGGAAGCCCAAGGAGTAAAATGAAAATTGAACCCATGTACATAATTTTTTAAGTGTTTGTCCACGATTAAATTAGCACACACACACAAGACCGGAAAATGGTTAATGGAAATTGCAATTTGAGAATGCGAATCCACTATCCAAATCCAGCCCCAGCAGCAACCCAACCATCTCCAGCCCCATACCCATACCCACGGTAGAATAAGCCACTCGAACTAGGTCATGTAAATAAGCATTAGATATCTGAATGTGAACTGCATTTTACTTCATCAAAGGTCGGGCTGCGTGCCCGACGCAGGATGTGTATGTAAATTAAGCAAACATTATATAGTGATATTATTTAGTTTCAAACGAAACCATAAATAACTAAATATTGAGGCAGAAAAAAAAACACGGAAACCACACCGCAGGATGTTAGTATGTAAAGTATTTGCCACGTTTGCGTTCCGATTTGACGTCGATTTCGATTCATATTTCGTTCCACTGCCATTTCTTTGAACGCAGGTGTAGTTATATTTTAGTTAGTAAGCGCACCGTAACCAAAGCATAACAACGTAACAGCAATTCAATGTAATGTTTTTCGATGTAAACTAGGACCTAAGCAAACATGTTGTACCACCAAAAACGGGGAGCGAACGGATCTCAGCTAGTCCCCATCATTCGGAATATTAGTCGGAGTATTTGAATCTGAATTTTGCATACATATTAGCGGCACGTCCACGCGACTCGAGTGTCACCTGTAAATACATGAATATACGGTACTTATTGAGTGTTACAGAACCCAGCAGGCATTTTATCAGCTTTTGCACCTTTCCAATTGTACGCTCGACCCGAGTCGAGTCCGTACTGTTTCATTTAGGGCACACACGATAGAGGTCAGCGCTCACTTGTATATTTTATAGGCCGCGGCCCCTCGAACTCGTATACAACTCCTGTACTTAGCATGTCGAACGAAGCCAAAAACCGAAACCAAAAGCGGATCGAAAGAATAAAGCCGAATCTCAAGCAAAAGCGTTACAATTTATCTACATAAATGTGTATGTGTGTACCTTACATAGTCAGTTGGAAGCGGGAGGAGTCGTATGCATTATGCAGATTATACAGATACAGACAGACGCGAGTCTACGCTGAACCTACACACGAGTATAATTCAGATAAACCAGAAATAGCGTCATTAAAAGTGAATTCATTAATTACTAACTACATAGTACGATGCTAATTGTATGATTAATGCGCATAAGAAACCCTAAACTATTCAGAAATAAAATAAAGCATTAGATGTAAACTAAACTATGCAAATGTGTTTCCTTTCCCCAAGGGGTCTCATTGCATTCTGGAGAGCCCCTCCAGCCGGAGCCTTGAGTTCGCAATTTATGGTAAATGTGTCACTTCCTTTGTGCAAACTTTCTGCAAATTTGTGCAAAAATACATAATCATCGATGGACCAGGTCTTTTTCGATTTTTTGACGACTTTGCCCGGAGCCCTTCTAAGCCCACTTCCTGCGCTGACCGACGGTGGAGTACATCGGACGTGGACATACGTGCACGGTTTAAATTATTGAAAGTTTTGCATTTCGCAAAAGTTTATGCATGAAATTTCACAGGACGCACAAACTACTTGAGCTGCACAGGCCAAGGGCGGAGGGCCGAGGGCCGAATGCCAGGAGTTTCATTTGGAAGGGAGCGCAGAGGATGTCCGGATGCCAGTTACTGGTTGCCAGTTGTCGCTGCCCACGTCGCCATTTGCATGTCGCAGTGCGTCGGGGAGTGGGCAGAAACCCTGGGCGGGGCGCACTTGACGCCCCCTTCAAGTTTGCAGTTGGTAACTGCAAACTTAGTGACCATTATGCATGCAAGTCTCAATATATTGCACATGAATTTTAATGAAAACTGTGTCGTTGAACCGAGCCTGCCGGGAAAGCGGAAAAGGAAAAATGGTGAATGGTAAATGGTAACTGGAAAAGGGGAAAAATATGCTAAGGATTTTTCGCAAATCATATCGCATAATTGGTGAGCCACAAGCGACTGTTTCCAGCTATTTGCATTGGCTTTGACCAGTTGGCCCCGGGACAACTTTTGGCGCATATTAATTAGCTCGTTTATCATTTGAACACTTTTCTGACAGCCAGCGAGCAGTGCACTCGAAGCAATGTAAAATTAATTAAGTTGCCCCGCGAGAAAACTCTCGCTCTTGGTTCCGCATTCCGCATCCTTCTCGGTCGTCGGGTGCCATTGGTATTCATTTCAAAAGGACTCCCCAACTCACAGAAGCAATAAAGAATCGCTGGGAGAAACTGTTAACTAACGAAAATGAAATCATAATTAATATTGGTGAAATTGGCAAAGTGCAGTGCTCCGGAGCGGTACTAATACCCCAACAGTTGCGATTTCGCAGACAGGACGACGAGGCAGTCAGTCAGTCAAGGCGTCATGGCGAGCGGGATCCAAACTTTTATAATTAAAATTTTCCAGCAGCAGCGGCAGCATTTTCTCGACTCTTTTTTCCACCCAACATTCGGCAAAGGAATAAAACGCAAGCAAATCATAAAGCTACATGGCGGCAAAAGTTTGCCGTTCAAGTGCGAATTAAATTAATTTTCAGCTGATTTGATTTCTCCAACAGTTATTGCTAAAAATGCAAGAGTTTCGACAAAAGTTGCTGCTGCCCGATAAAAGGAATGTCCGGCGAATCAAGCCAAATTGTGCAGAGAATGCAAATAAATTAAATTAGCCGGGGCAAACAGAGGAAACTTAAGAATTCCATATATTGTCCGGGACAAAGGCAACCGCACGGCACCAACTATGGCAACCGAGGGGATGTGTCGAAAAGGCCAGTCTTGTGAGTCGTCCTGTGAGCTATCCGTGTCCTGGTCCCGTCTCCAGTTGCCCGGGCAACGCACAATAATTCAATGAAATGCGTACGGACGAGTGGAGAAGATGGAGCGGGAGTGCTGTGACCAAACAAATTTACATAATTCTTCCGGGCGGGGCAGCCTGATATTTATGGAGGAAACTTAATGGCGGTTTAAAACGTTGCAGCCGAGAGAAATCGCTGTAGGATCCCGTAGAAGGCTCCCTCCACACACACACCCACACACATAAAGCACACACAAAGCACACAACACCCCTGCACAGGCATTATGCTAAAACAAATCTACATAATTTAGGAGTAGGCCGCCAAGAGTAGACGGCAGGACAACATCCCCCACCCAGCTCCATCCACATCCACATCCCCGCCTGTCATTGACGCACAAATCAAAAGGCAGGCTCCTTCGGAGAAAATTGTTTGCGGATGCTAAGAAAAATTTGTACATCAATCGATTTTGTTTGATTTTTTCCCAGCTCGGCCGTTGCCTTCACTTCTGCGTTGAGTTGGCCGCAAGAGATTTGCATAATTCATGGCGCTGATGGCTGGTGAGGATTGCGGAACGGGACGGAACTTGCCCGGCCCTGCCTGGATCCGGATCAGGATCCGGCGGTGAGTCGGGCTGTTGCTGAGTGATTGGGTGGGTCGGAGATGTGTCTGCCTGATTGCTTTGAGTGGCTCATTTCGCACAGCCCGCTCCAGCGATGGTGATGGTAAATTGGAAAAGTATGTCTATGGCCATTCCACCATTCCTCCTCCTGCTTCGGCTCCAAAACTCCCCCAAAGTCCCAACATCCAAGGCGTATAATTTTCGCCTCGGCCTGCGTGCGGCACGTGAGTACTGTGCTCCTCCTGTATAGTTTTTTAATCAACCTGCAACATGCAAAACCAATGACAGTTCCGCTGTCTGCGTGCCGAAAAGAAAGAAATGCCAGCGAAATGCAAACAAGTTGGACCGTCAATTTCAATTTATATTCTAATGACATATTGTTCCTGCCATTTTCAATTCCGTCGCTGCGCGTGTGACATAAAGCAGGGCCAGAGGCAGAGCCGACAACGAAAATGAAAACGAAACCGAACCAGTGCTGGCAGAAATTTAAAAACAATTTTCTAAACTTGCCCCAGAGATTTGTATTATGTTTAACTCATTTTCATAAAGCGCGGACAAAACCGGGAATTATAATGCGAGAATAGCAACAGCAACAACGGCAGCTGCAGGAGCAGAAGCCCCGAACAGCCGGCCGCGACAAAGTTCAGGCAGAACAAAAGTTTATCTCGTACTTTGTTTGCATACACAAAGCCAAAGGAGAGGCGTTGCAAGGCGCGCGGCGCAGGAATCCGCGGCGGAAACGCAGAGGACTGCGGTGGCTGCCAGCCCTCCTGCAGCCACCAGAACTTGGATAAAACAAAGAATCCCCCAGCTCCCGCCGCCTGGTGCGTGCGCCGGGCGTTGAGCGATTTCTTTTCACAGAGATAAATGCCAGAAAGTTGGGACAGGCGCAGCGGCAATGTTCTTAAGCGCGTGGAGGTACACTACCAAAAAGAAAAAGTACTATACAAATGCAGAAGTAAAAATATAAAAAATATCAAGAGAATTATAACTTAAGAAGTATTTAGAAATTTATAGAATTTAAGCAAAATAAACCATTAGATATTAGATACAATATCTTATCGAAACTCTCAACTCTTTTCCCAAAGTGCCATTCCAATGCAATCTGGTGTCGCTCCGGTGGTTGCAGCTTGGAGAAAGTGAGGCTCATCATGGCTGGAATCCTTCCTCCGGCTTTGTTTTAAAGCCTCACCGGCTCCCGGACTCGGAAGGGCCTTAAGTCGGCCATGTAAAATAATTTACTGCGCTGCATTGCAAATGACATTGACTTTTCGCCTCTGCAGTTTTTCATATTTCGTGTGGCGTTTGCGTTCGCGTTTTGCGTACAGCGTCACGCTCGCTTCCGCGAGGTTGCCTGTGTGGTGCACATTTCGAGGTGGCTTGCATGCCGTCCGCTGGCCAGCGACCCAGCAGTGGGCCAATTGACCAATGGTTCCTTATCAGGCGAGAACATGTTTCCATGGAATTTCATTAGGCTTCACCTGGTCCGCGTCCGCGTTCCCCTTCTCCCCGTTCCCACTCGAATCCTAATGGTGGGTTGTTGGCCTTTTCTTTTTATTACGTAGCCGCGCTGGTTGTCGCCCTGGCCGCGTTGGCTAATGGCGTTAGTTCGTTAGCCAAGCGATAAGATTGGGCTAGGAAGGGAGTCGGGGCAGTCCGCTCCCAATCAGCGGTGTTTGTAGCAGGAAGCTCTTTAATTATGAAAAGGCAACAGTGTACACATTTTCAGTGGAATATCTTCAGACAGTCTGAGGCGAAGCATAATGAACTACACAAGTATACCAACGAAACTAGTATCAGATTCATATTAATATTTTTCAGAGCAGTAGCTCAATCAGAACTTGTCGGAATTGTCGGTTACTTTTACACCTTTTTAAAGTAGTAGTCAAAATTCCGAGTGTACAAAATACCATAGTTAAATTTTAGTAATTTTATAAACTAAAAAAAAAAAGGCGATGAAAATGGGCGGCACTATTGGAGGGCAAACGAACCCACTGGAGTCTATCGCCGCATACAACAACTTCCTTTGTACCTACGGCCTGCTACATAGGGAAGGAAGTCTTCCGAGCGATGCCATCCAACGTGCGACCAGCATGTGGTGCAACTTCACGCCGGAGCAGCAGATGAGCTTCGCGGTAAGAAATTAAATAAAATCAATCGACCAAAAACTTATAAATAGCAATAAATACCACAGTACCAACCAAACGATTTTGAATATGAAATACGTTCCGAATGTGTCCAGCCTTTACCGAAGAGGGGACCAGAGAAAAAGGCCATGCTCAAGGTCAAGTCTCCGGCCGCCAAGTGTAGAACTAAGAAGAAAGCCACTGCAACAGCGTCGAAGAGAAAACAGGAGTTGAACATACCTAAGAGGCAAAACAAGGCCTGTATAAGGGTCAAGCCTAGTGGCATGACGCTCGATGAACTATCGAAAACTGGGTTTCAAAATTTCTTTAAGCAACTCCGAGAGCGACACAGCCAAATAACGGAGGCAGAAATAATAAAGAAAGCCGCCAGAGCCTGGTGCGGCATGAACAAGCGACAGCGCCAAAGCTTCCTCCGGTGAGGGGAATCCCGTTAGATCATGTCTCTTGCCCACTCCGACGCCGCTCAATCAATGCACCGGGCACGGCCGCTTGTCACGAGAGAATCCACTTTGGAATCAAGCTTAGCCAAGCGGTTACACAATCGCCGCCAGTTCCGCGCCCCGAACACATGTACTCCAGCACGCAACGGGCAGCACGGAAGTCCGACGGCCGAGAGCCTCCGAGCCCGGAGCAACAGTCGCCGGTGGAAAACAAACAGAGCCAGAAGCAGAGCCACAATCATTCACATTTAAATTAACATTTCCCGCCGCCGATTATCCTAATTGGGAGCTGGCCTTAGCCTAGTCAGTAGTCGTCGTCCTGGTCGCAGATGTGGAGCACTCGGTGCTCGGCACTCGGCAGTCGCCGTCAACATTTCTCAGGCGCATTCACTCTGGTGACGGCACGCGAGTCTGTTGAAAAATGGATTTAATGCGAGGCAAAGCAAGCGAGGCCTCATAAAAATAAAATGGAAATTAATCTTATTAGCATTTCGTACAAATAGCAAAGCATTACCTCGCGTATGGCGGCAATTTGTAATGCCGCAAGGCCGGAAGGAGGTCTGCAAATTCTGTGAGCGGCGAGGCGGGCATGCGAGCGGTTCGTTTCGGGGGCCACGCCAAAAAGTGATTGCATAATTACAGCTTTGCCAAGTGGCTGCAGCTAGATTTCTCTCAGGATATGGCATCCCGAAACGAGAATTAAAACTAACGACAAGTGCCGCAGGAAGACATCCCGTCTCAATTAGGCTCCCGGCTCTCGGCTTGTAGTACTTTTTTGGCCAAGGCACGAGGTCAGCAAGGGCCATATTCTCCCAGAGGTTCGTGTTTTACTATTGCGACTTTATTGCAACAAAATGGTATTTTAAGTGCAAGCCATAAAAATGATTTATTGGGATAGAGAACCGCCGAAGCCTGGGGCATGTAAAAATCTACCATTCCGTTTGGGGCTTAATTAGGATGGGTCAGGGGTCGACTGCCTTGACCACGATATGCGCGGCAGTAAACGTGGCATATGGGTGTTTACATTTTTTTATCCTTTCTGGATCTCTTTCAGTGCCAAATCGAAGTATCCTTGTCCTCCTGCTTACTTTTAAAGTAGGGAAAAATAAGTCTTAAAGACCCCAATACAAGGCTTAACAGTTTAATCCCTGCAATTAGTTATTTATTTGAATCCTCGAATAAAAATACTCCGCTTGCTGAAAGATATTCCGTGTTCGACTCCCCACGTTGTGTACATCAATATTCACTCAGCCTGAATTATTTACTCTGTCTTTGCGAGTAAACTGAAAGCCTCCACGATATTCATTAAGAACGCTAGCCCTGAAACAACCTACTTCGGGGAAATTTTTAAGTGCAGGGTGCACAAGAAAGGAAGCTGCACAAAGTTGAGGAAAAGGAAAAACTATGCCAAATGTGCAAAATGAAAACTTTTAGGCAAACAAAGCGGGCGAGTGGGTGGCGAGGCGGTAATGTCAAATGTGGGTTAATATGATTTATGGAAATTTGCCAGCTTCGCATTGGTAAAAGCACTCGACCTGGCGCCTGGTGCTTGCTGCCTTTGTGTGTTTGCTTTTCCAGGTGGCAGCCCAAGCTATTCGCATTTCCGAATCACTTGCCAGCCGCCTGAAGCTTCCCCGGAAGCCCCTGGAAGTCCCATGAAACCTCCCCTGACTCGCACACAGACTCGTTTGTGGGATGACTTTGTCTGCGATCTGGGACATTTTTACTTTTTGCTCAAATTTGTCAACTGAAACAGTTGACGTTAGACTCAATGCAGCCAGCAGCCCGCATAATGCCAGGCGTTTTGGTGTCATTGTTAAGAAGCAGCCACACACCCCCACCCACACTGCCTCCCAGACTAATATACACAAAGAGAAAGCCAAAAGGAGTCAACGCCATTTGCCAGGCCCCGCAATGTCAGTGTCATTTTGGCCAGGAGCGGGGGCGGGGCAGGAGGAGGCTGCTGAAAGGTTTTTCATTTGACAAATGCTGATTAAGCGGCCGACGGAGGCTGGAAAATATATTTCGGCTCCTGATGGGGGAATTGGATGCGCCCGAGCAAGTCGTGTGTGTGCACTTTAGATGTCTGGTCGTGGTCTAGGCCCATTCAATCAAGTCCACGGGCCATGGCACGGGCCTCCCATGGAGATGTTCGAAATATGTTTTCAACATTATCCAGATTGTCCGTGCTGCCGCCCTGCTGCTCCTGTTTTTGTTTGTGCGATTTCCCCAGCGTGGAGCGTTCGCTGAGATTGAAAAGTCAACATGGCCGAAGGTGACAACAAAGCCAAATAAATGGACATGACACGCATATTTAATACGCGACCCACACCAGTTACAGGGGGAAAAATATCTCACTTTGTATGCACTGAAAGTGGAGAATATATGTTTTACATTTTAAATTTAGAATTTATTTGTATGGTTTTCGGGGGAATTTCGATCGTCAAAGCTTGACGATAATAGAACTATTTTTGCGTTATATTTTTCGGGCAGTGTAGCCACCCACTTCAGTCGCTTTAACGCGCGTGGCCCTTGTCACATTTCGGCTGATAGGATCGCTTGAAAGGTGAGGAGGGGCTGCCAACGCTGGCCCGACTGCTTGTTATGATATTTGTGTTGCCTTTTTCTTGATTTTATTGTGTGAATATGTGGCACATTATTCATGATTAGGTTGAGGTCGTTTGCTCGTCGTTTTTGTGTGTGCCTTCTAGTGCGTGTGTATGCGGTGTGTTTTTGTGTGTGCCGGTGCCTGGGTGTTTACCCACTTTGATTGGCTGACAAGGGGGCGGCTGTCTGGCTGGCGGCTGGAGCCGTGCCCAAGCCTAACCGTTCATCAGGACGGTAATTAGTCGAACCGGATCCGCTTTCGAGCTGCATCCCGGAGCAAAAAGCCAGCGCTAATGAGGCCAATAACTCAATTGCGGCTAAATAAAGTGCCAGAAGGACTGGCGCACAAATCTCGGAAGTTTAAAAGCGTTTACACACCATTTAAATCAAAATTAATGCCGACTACGACTGCTACCTGAACCCTCGTCCATCTCCAAGTTCCATAGAATTCCCCCTACTCCCAGCTGGATCCAGTAGTTGTATTGGCCGGGCATCATTTCCTTTTAATGACTCCACGCTTCGTATAAACTTTTTAATTACAAACTTCAATTACAATTAACGAGCGCCAGAGCTAAGCCAAAAAAGAAAGAAAGCAACGGTGGAAAGATATGGCCCGCTCCCTCCTTATCTCGGCGTTGTTGTGACTGTTCGGTCTCCAGAGTTTGCATAATTGCCTCGGCCTCGGCTCGTCTTCGTCCTCGTCCTCGTCCACGGCCAGGAGAACTGACAGGCTTGGGCGCTCGGCCTGGCCCTGTAGCAAAGCCCCTTCCAGGATAATTAGGAATAATAATTGCCTCCCAAGTTGCAGTTTATCTGCCTCTGTCTTTGCCATGATTTTTCTGCCGTTGCCTTCACTGACATCTTAAGACAGCAAATAATGCAAATAATGCAGGAGAGCAAAAGTAATTGCCATCGATGCAAACCTAGTTGTCACAATTAGGAGGTAAGTACGCGCTCTGAGAAAATATAAAATTTAAATTGGATTTTTGAAATCTCAGCTTTAATGTGTCCCCGCGACTTGGCCGATATTTGTTCTGCTCGAGTTGCGAGCAGGGAGCAGGGGGCACAGCTCACAATTGGCCAACTTTGTTTCACTTTCCATCCAGTCGCGGCTTCTAATTTCACTTTTTCTCTGTTTCTGTTGCGCTGTTGACAAAATAAAAACTTTTCAATTTGACTTCTTGTTTGCCGAAATGTGAAAGTTTCGCATGAATAAGAAAGGAGCTGGCAGCAAACAAAAGACGTGAAATGGTCATGTTGACAGTTCAAAGGAATTCTCAGTGTGGGTCGATTTGAATACGGGCCCAACTCAGCTCTGGGCTTCACCAGATTCCGGCTGCCGTTCAGTCGGGCTCTGAAATGATTAGGCTGCAAGTGAGCAGTTCATATTTGGGGCAGGCTAAGGTGCGACTCTGTCGCTTAATGGCAGGCAATTCAATTACATCACAGTCGCCTTTCAGTCCTTTCGGACTGAAGCTTTTTGTTGCCACTCCATTTGCTGCAAACAATTTTCAATTTCCAATTTCCACCACCATCACCGCATGTTGCACGTCGCACAGCCAACAATATCCAACGCCAGGCTATTCAATTTCGTCAAACACCAGGCAATAAATTGTCATAACACACGAGGTGATGCCGTCGAGGTGGTCCTTTTGCCAGCAGTTCGAGATTCAAAGGGTCCCGCCAAATGAAAGTCAATCAATGCTGCTGCCACTGCTGGGGTGGCCAAATATATAATAGAACCCGGGCCTTATCCTTGCCATCCAACATGCCGCAATGTGTGACAATAACTTTGCATGTCTTACTGACATTTAACATTTGCGTTTCGTGTTTCATACTCGCTCCGCGGTGAGCCCTGTTTGCCGTTGCCAATACGCCAAAATGTAGCTGGCTCTTTTTTCGACTGGATGTGGAACGTGAATGTGGTCCTGGCAAATAGACAATCAGCGAAATTGAAACACAAGCAACGGGTGCAGTGTCGTCGCCATACAAGTTTTAGATTGCGTGCACATGTCCTGGCAACCCATCCGCTGAGCAAATTGAAATTTTTTCCACCGATGACAAAACAAAACAGCTCAATAAAAAGTGTCAAATTGGCCGGTAAACCTCTCTGCCAACGCCCCCGGCCAGCCACGAGTCAAACCCTAGCAATTGGCTCTTGGCCTCGAATGGCTTCAATGGGAACAAAGCAAATCCATCAATCAATGCAAAGTGTGTGGCAATCTTTTAACTACTCATTTATGCGCTTTAAGTGCGCTCTCGACCCAGGATTTGTGGACGGGAGGGGTCGAGGTGCCGAGTGCCGGGGTGTTTTTATCGCTTGGTCTGCAAGGGTGCTGCGATTAATTGGCCGCGTTCCTACTGCCTGCATTTCGCTTGTTGGACTTCCAGCCCGCCTGCCGTTACAATAAATTGTTCTGCACTTCGACTGGCGCTGGGCACTTGCAGGCTGCAGTTGGCTTAATAGAGTCGCAGTGAAAAACAGTACTTTTTTATGCTGCAATTGGAAGTGTGCCGGATTCTAAGGGCTAACGATTGCAGTTGTCCCTACGGATAACAACTGGCCTTATTTTTTTCTGTGCTTAAATGTTAGCCAGTGATTGCTTTTTGGCAAATGACTTTGTTTTCTTATATGGAGAAATGGTTTGGAATCTATTTAAGGCTTGATTAAAATAAAAATTGTAAAGTATCAATACAATAATTATTTAGAGCAAGCTTTTAAAATAACCTTATCTAGCAATATATCTTTTTCTACAATTTCTTTGTAGACAAGTGCAATCGAAAATAATGGTGGACACGATCTGGCATTTTTCTATACATTATACTGCAAAAGTGTTGCTGGCGATGGTGCGCTGCGGATCGAATACAACAATAAC